AGTTAGGTTGAATGAATGATTTTGTGCTATAACATTTTAATTAGACACATTTATGCTTTTGTGCTTGAATACATATATGTGAACTTTATTGTGCATATTATACTTGATTACATGCATTTAAAATACTCTTGACATTATTGGTATCATGCATTTTGTCCCATGCCTTGAATTGATCTCTCTTTTTTTTGAAATGACAAAAAAAGGGAGAGTTTATAAATATTTCTTCTTATATGTTTATAGCAATTGGTATAGGAGCTTAAACATTTGATATAAAGAGCATAAACAGAAAAGAGGATAAATGTTTTATGAATTATTTACTAATACCTTTTTATGTTTATTACTCATGCCTTTTTGCTATGACAAAAAGGGAAAGAAATATTTGGTGAACAAATTTATTTGTGCTTTATATATATATATATTATGTGTACTTAATTGTTATATATACTCTAACATTTGTTAGTTGAGTTACGTTGGATTAGGAGGCATAAATTGAGGGGAGTTTTGCCATACATTGTTTAAGAGGGAGTTTTTTAAAATGTTTTTTAAAATCTTAAATATTTTAAAGAAAGTTTTTCATTAAGCAAATTTATCTTTAAGTTTTGTCATATCAAAAAAGGGGAGATTGCTAGCCTTGAATTTATCCTTATTTTGAAATAAGAAAACATTAAGCTAAATAAGCTTGATCAAGATTTTGAAAAAGATTTATTTAGTACATGTTCTTAAGTTTTATATTTTGGTACTAAATAAATAATATGTTTTTCATAGTGTAAACAAACCTTTCTTTGTTTTCATATTTCTCAAACTAAATCTATCTTTAAAGATTGTTTACTTGAGCTTAAATGAAAGTTCAATTTTTGTTTTTAATGTGAACTTATTTATTTTAGACTTAATACAATTTTGATAATATTAGTTTTGACAAATAGATTAACTTAAGAAAATTGTTTTACAATAACAATGTTTTCCAACATTGAACTTGTTTTATTTTTTTTGTATTAATTCACAAAGTTTTAATATTTGAATTTTATATGGTTGGAAAGCTCTTTGAGTCTACTTTCTAATGGATTAAACAAATTCAAAATCTAAATTTTCTAATAAAACATTTTGTATTTTTACTAGACATTCTGCAATTGTTCAAAATTTGTACAAGGGGTAGTTTTGAAAATTCACTATAATTCATATACAATGAATTAGGTGATGAACTTAATATGGATAGAAAGTCCTTAAAGTTTAGTTTCTAAATCTTCAAATGATTTGTGATTTGAGATTTTATAACTCAATATATGATCAAATTAGTAAGTAAAGTGTAAAACAAGAGACAACCACCTAGCTTGGATAAGATCAATCCCCTCAGAGAAGGGATCGATTGATTTTTTATCCAAAATAGATTTTTATGCTCCAGGTTGAAAAAGGAATTGATCACCCTATGGAAGGGATCGATCACCCCTTTTTGAACCAATTGATCCCCTCAGGGAAGGGATCGATCAAGTCATGATTTCAAAGGCAAATTGGTTCCAAAACTTGAACCAATCGATCCCCTCATGGAAGGGATCGATCAAGTATGCCTGAAGCAATTCCAATGACTAGTTTATCATGTTTCAATGACTATTTTCTTCTTCCAAGCATTTCTAATGACCATTTCTTCAATTCTTTTATAAATTGGGCACTCAAACACACCAAAAAATTTATGAATCAAAGAGCAAAAATCAACAAGCTATATTTCATTCTCTCAAAGAAATCAAGAGTTTTAGAGCTTTAAAGTCAATATCTTTGTATTTATTGTATCCAAATCATATTTGTTGTTTATTTATCATTTTCTTGTACTTAAACTTAGCAAACACTGAGTCTTAGAAAGGTTGATCTATTGTTTGCAAAATTACCTTTGATGTATAAGGGTGGAAGAGAACAAGAGATAAGGTATTCTCTTGAGAACTTTATAGTGAGATTGAGTAAAATATTACAAAAGGTAGAGGTTTTTATCTTAGGCCTTAGAGAGAAAAAGATAGGTTTGTATTTTCAATTCAAGATTAGTGGATTGAAATCTTAATGTAAACAACCAAGAAGAGAGGACGTAAGTACTTTGTAGAGAAGAACCAAACCTTTATAAATCTTTGTATTTGATTTCCCTATTGTTATCTTTTTATTTTCATTGTTGATTATATATACTTCTAGATACATCAATTCATTATTATTTGCATCAAATTTTGATATTGATTTTAATTTTCATTCAATTATTTTGAAATCATTATTTGGAAAGAACTTAGAGAAATCCAATTTACTCCCCTTTTGGATCACTATCTCACCTAAAAAGCTAATATCTTTTAAGAAAGCAATTATACTCTTTTTATAAAGTTTAACAATCATTAAATCTTTGTTAATTTTTTTCATCTCTTTGTTTTTTGTCTTAATATTTACATGAAAAAATACTTATTAAAATATCATATAATCAAATTAAATGTTTAAAAATATTACGAAAAATTTATGATATTATTTGTTATATTTTTAAATTTATTTATTTGATTTTTGAAGATATTACATATTTATTTTATAGATTATTAATAGAATTATAATATATAAGTTCATATATGTTTATAAATATATTTGTATTAAATAAAAAAAATTTAAAAATAATATATCAAAATACTGGTATTGATATATCATATTTTTTAAAAAAATTAAAATACTATTTAATATAATAGTAATTATATTGATTTTAATAATATATTATAGATTAAAGACGATATAAATAATAGCTTTTTAGTGTTTCACCTTTAGTTGTGCAATACTAGCAAAACTTATCAGAGTTGATATCAAATGATGGGAAATTATTATTATTATTATTATTATTATTATTATTATTATTATGTTTTAATCTTAATTAGGGTGGGTAATCTAACCCGCTCTCGACGGATTTTGATCTGATCCGATCTTATAAGGTCGATTTTTTTTTTTAAATCAGGTTTGGGGTCGGTCGGGTCGAGTTCGAATTTTAGACAAATTCGATCCGATCTAACCCGATATTATATAAAAATAATTTTTAAATTAATTTTTTATTTATATATATTTATATAATTATATATTTAAATATTTATATTTTTTTAAAAATATTTTATTAATTTCAGGTCAGATACAATTTATACAATATCAGATCAGTTTGGGTTCGAATATTTAAAAAATAAAAAATTTTGGGTTGAATCGAATCGGATTTAAATTTAACGAGTATAAAATCGAATCGAGTTTGAGATGAATAAAAACCTACCCCGATCCGACCCAATGTCATCCCTGATCCTATCCACTCGACGCCATGTACAATGGCCAGCTTTTGCAAATTGGCCCTTTGACTTTGACAATTTTAAAACTGTTGGACTTGAGTTCAATGTTACAAGTAGGATGAATATGTAAAATGTTATTTGTACTATATGTTTATTTGTTAGTTTAATATTTAAAAAATAAATTTTTTATATTATTTTTATTTTTATTTTATTAAATATTTAAATATTTTATTTTATTATTACCAATTAAATGATAATATGGTGTAATATATAATAAAATCAGCTCATATATCATAAATATCAAATTATTGTCACGTTAATTATTGCCACATCAATAAAATTATTTTCTCCCTAATTTTCTTTTTTTTGTTTAATCTTGAATTACAAAATATATTTTTAAAATTTTTTATTTAAATATTAACATAAAAAATAAATAATATGTAAATAACTAAATATTTATATCATGTGTTATGATTTTATTAGGTATTAATATTATATAAGTAAATTGACTAACATATTAAATTGGAGTACTAAAATGGTTGATGAAATAAAAATTTAAGTACCAAAATAAAAATTTTATTTTTTTAAACATTAAACTAATAAAAAATATATTATATATGAATTTTTTATTTAAACCTTGCAAATATAAGCATAACAAAATTTTTATTTGTAAAAGAAAAAAAAAAATTTTTTATCAATGAGTCGAAGAGAATATTTTTAATTTGGATAAGAATTCTCAAAATTTATCTTAAATTTACACTTTGCTTGAAATCTCATCATGGAATTCAATTTCCGTGGCCTATGCTGAGAAAAAGAGAACTTAGATAGCTGAAATTTTATAAGTAATTATTTTCGTTATTTTTGCCTGTAAATTTATTCTAATCTTGAAAGCAAAAAATATATATATAATAAATATGATTTACAATTATTATATTATAATTAATTAATTAAAATTTAAATTATACGAAATTTATTACTATTTTATATGAAGTCTATAATAAATTTATATAATTTTTTATTATAATTAAATAATTATAAATTATAATAAAAAATAATTATAAATAAAATAAAAAAAGTACAAATCCTAAATCAAACAACCTGGCTTTGGCTTGTTTCTTCTCTGAAGCTATATTTTTAACAGTAAAAGAGACATTGTAGGGCACGAAGATTTTAACAGGACATTGAGATTTTGGCTTTGAGCCAAAACTCTCCTCTTCATTTATTATATCCGTCCTAAGTTGGAAAAAAAAAGAACTTTGCGCGTTCAAGGAGCGAGTGAGGAACGCAAGAATTCTACCCAAAATTTTTTTCTTTTTCTCATTCAAAAACCACAAAGTGTTGAACAAAGTTCTAGCATTTTTTTTGGTAACATCATTTTTTAAACCCAGATCTCTTCTTTCTAAATATTAAAAAAATAAATGTTGGCTTTTCAAAAAATTTTAATCCCATCAAAGATTTCCCCAGGCCTAAACCTTTTTCACTTTTTTCAGTAATTAGTGGACAGAGCGGAGACGGGAGGGGAAAGCATTACTGGTATTTAGCATCACGCGCCTCAACTGCGTCTGTGACCTTTTTAATGCCTATGCAAAGATACGAGACAAAATGCAACCTACAGTAGTTTTCTGGTGCTCACAGATATGGGCCCAGTGGTGGTTATTTTCTATACTCCCACGCGCATTTACAGGGGAGCGTGAGGCATTGTGTTTCTAGTTCCACCCACCCCAAAAATAATTCTAGTAGGCATCTCTCAAAACACAAACACACCCTCTCTTCCGCTTACTTATTTTATGGTCTCCATTTTTTTCCCTTCAAAATCCCACCTCTCCGAATCTCTCTCTTTCCTTTATCTTTTTTCCCTGGTTTGAATTTTTCTTCGTTTCTTTATTTTTGTTGGGATTTTGCGATTAGTAATGACAGCACCAAACATGTCAACGATCACAGAATCTTTAGAGAGGTCTTTACAAAACTGTTCTTTGAACCATGAAAGAAGAAGAAGCAGCAGCAGCAACAGCAGTGGAGGTGACGCTGAAGAAGGAATAATACGGTGGTCTTTGACTTCAGATGATAACAACCTTCCACACGCCGTTTCTGACACTAGCTTGGAGCTCAACTCCCATCTCTGTCTTCCTTACCATTGGGAACAATGCCTTGATCTAAAGGTTCGTTCTTTTTTTTTTTTTTTTTCTTTTCTCATTGTAGTTTTTTTCTCTCCTATCTGTTTTTGAAATGGTTACAATAGTTTTTAGTCCTTTTCGTGTTTCATACGCAATTAATGCGAAACCCATGGCAGATCTTGTTCTTTCCTTGGTTGTATATTTTTGGTTTTTGTTCTTTAATGGCTTTTTCTTCACTGTTCTTGTATTTATTGCTGCGCTGATGGTCTCCCTTTCTCCCACACGAATGCTAAGCTTAGGGTTTCAAGACCATTATCCTAATAGAGGAATAACCTTTCTTTGCTTTTCCCTTTTCCCATTTCTTTCCCTTCTTTTTCTTTATGGCTTATCCCTTCTTGTTGGGGATTAGAATTGTAAAAGAAATGAAACACCTTTAACATTTGAAACCCAGATAAATTCCATTCGTTTTAGATCAAAAGAATCAATTACTATCTTTCTTCTTTTTTTATTCTGGAAGGGATGAATTTAAATCTTTTGTTAAATCAGAAAGGAAAATGAGGTAAGGCTTAAGGGATTTATTGTAATTCGGGGAAGTTAATGGGATGTCTTAATTAATTAATTAATTAATTTTTTGTGCAAAACGAAATTAAAAAGAGGTAAAAGACTCATTTCTATGTTGGCCTGATTCATGTGATTGCAATATATCTTAGGGTAGAACATTATAGGTATGCAGCTAGTTTTCACATTCTAAAACGTGAAAGATTTTTGTACTTTGTTCTGGTATATAGATGTTATAGTGTTATTGTTTGATGGCGGTGCGGCGTTTTTTCTTTCTTTTTTCTGGGGTGTATATGACAGACAGGAGAGATTTACTATATAAACTGGAGGAACGGAATGAAAGCAAGGGAGGATCCAAGGACAGCAGCTGAGTACAGCGGAGATTTCTACTCAGAGGAAGGGGGAGAGGAAGAAGAAGACGAGGTTGATAGCTCGTATGACAGTGAAGAGTCATCGTCAGAGTCATCTCCTTCGAGAGAGAGAGCTCGTTACAACAACAACAACAACAGCAACCACCATCGGGTAGAGAAAGACAAAGACAATGTCTTGGTTGTGGCTGGTTGCAAGAGCTGTCTTATGTATTTCATGGTCCCCAAGCAAGTTGAAGATTGCCCCAAATGTAATGGTCAACTTCTTCACTTTGATCGATCCGAAGGTAGCTCTTCATGAACCAGATTTGTCTTTTCTTTCCTCTCTCTCTCTCCCCCCCCCTTTTTTTTTTTTTCTCTCTTTTCCAGTTTTCTCAATTAGCTTTTCCTTTTCAATTTATTTTATTTTCTTTTTTTGTTTTTGGTCTTGAAAGATTTTGAGTATGAATGGTGACATATTAGACAAATGCATTATTTGCTCTTTTCTCTTATTCTCCCTTTGTTTTTTGCGTTTGTTTTGGGCGCCATTTAAGTCCCAGCCAGAGATGAGTCGTATGCTGCCCGTGGCTGTGGCTAGGTCAATGGTAAAAAAAGGAATAATATTGGTGATGATTGCGACGTGTTGCTTTTATTCTTCTTTATTTTGATTTTTATATTTCCTAGACATTCTTTATTTTAAATACACTCCTGTCCAAACTAGCTATTGCCTCTGTATTTCATAATCGTATTAGCCCAGCACATCACTGCATGGAATTTATGACAGATGTGCAACCATTCTTTTCTGCTTTCCCCTCCAATTCTCCTCCTTTTGATCATGTTATTTTTGAAAAGTGCAATCAATCAACTGCTTAAGTCCAGGTTCATTGTCTCTTTTAGAATTCCATTACTAATATTTTCTAAGTTTAATGTAACTTAGAGGGAAAATTTTGGTTATCTATTGACTCTGCTAATCATTTTGGGTTATTTAACTATGCGCCACACATATCTATCAATCTCATCTTAAATCAAATCAACTGAATCAACTTTGATGCAGGTATCAATTCACGATAGTTCATTATCATTTTCATCAATGTTTATCCTTTGCCATAAGTTACTATTGTAACAAGAAGTTTTTCTTCTTGTTTCTCTTTAAAGTCGATCCCACCACCCAAACCATATATGCGCAGTAGCTACAACGCTACTTGTTTCTTTGTGGAAAATCAAACAAATGGGAATGCAAAGATAGGGAGGTGCATTTTATAGTTTCATTCCCCCCATCATTTCATTAATTATTATTCTTAGACTCAATTTAGGGTTCTAAACAAGATAGTTATTCTTGTTTCTTTGTTCAAAGTCAAACCATCGTGAGCCTATGGACACTACTAAATTGAAGAATCTCTCTTGTAAGCAATCATTATTTCTAACATATTGTTGAAGAAAAAAAAAAGCAAGATCCTTTCTTAAAATCTAATTAATCACTTTCTTATTCTTGTTTGCCAAAACAAAAAAAAAAAAAACAAAAAATGAAGGTCAAAGCATGATGAGGCTATGGATATAGCGCAATTTGAAAAGTATGCATTATCTCTGTCCATGTAGTATTTAACAATTTATATCATTAAATAGAATAGAAAATAAGTATTTTCTTTTTCTTTTTCTTTTTAGGAAAAGAATAGAAAATCTTTTCTTAACTATTGAGGGGAAAGATACCACTTCCTTAGTAGTGAGGAATTGGATTGTAGTTTGAAGGTTAAATTATGTCATAAGTATTTATATTTTAAAAAAGTTTTGAAATTTAATCTATATACTGTAATTTAAATAAATTTAATTATCATATTATTTTGATTTGATAATTTTATTTTTATCATTAACTCCATCAATTATTTGTCTTTAAAAATATAGATGTAGTTATTTATTTGATGATGTAGGTATTGATTTTACTGATGTGCTATTGACTTTGCTAATGAAATATTGATTTACTGATGTAGCAATTTGAAATGATAAAAACAATTATTAAATTATGCAAATGGTTCATATACTCACAAAAATTTGAAATTTAATCCCTCTAATATATTTTCATAAAAATCTCATCCTCGTATAAGTTAAAATTAATAATGTTGGTTTAATTGCAAAAAAAATCATAATTTTTTTACTGTTTTGAAAAATCATATATTATTTTTTTAAAATCAAATCTCAATTTTTAAAAATTTTCCATATTTCTAAAATATTAATTTATTTTTTAAAAATATTTAATTTTTTAAAATAATATTTTTGAATTTTTTAAAATCATATTTTAACTTTTAAAAATTTAATATTTTGAATTTTTAAAAATTTTCTAGTTTTTTAAAATATTAAATGTACTTTTTTCAATATTTTATTTTTTAAATAAAATCTTTTTTATTTTTTTTCAAAATTTAACATTTTATTTAATCAAAATATTGAATATTTTCTTTTTAAATTTTTGGAATTTTAGAAAATTTTCTATTTTTTTAATTTTATGTTTTTAGAAAATTTTTATATTTTTAATATTGTTAGCTTTTTAGGTAAAATAGTGATCTAAGAGGGGGTGAATTGGATTTCTCTAAATTATTCCTAAATAATGATTTTAATATAATTGAATGAATAATTTAAATCAATATCAAAATATGATGCAAATAACAATAAAGTGATAATCTTAAAGCAAATGCAAAGTAAAGAGATAGAATAGTGAAATCAAACACAAATATTTATAAAGGTTTGGTCTTTCTCCACAAGACACCTACGTCACCTAAGCTTCAATATATTAATCTTGAATTGAAAATACAACTCTATCTTTTTCTCTCTAAGGCTTAAGATAGAAACGTATACTCTTTGTAGTATTTTACTTAATTTCACTATAAAACTCTCAAGAGGATATCTCACCTCTTGCTCTATGTTCCTTTTTTGTATTTCAAAGGTAGTTTTGCAAACAATAGAATAACCTCTCTAAAGCTAGGTGTTTGCTAAGTTTAAATACAGGGAAATGATTAATGAATAACAAATATGATTTGGATACAATAAATACAAAGATATAGACTTTAAAGCTCTAAAGCTCTTCATTTCTTTGAGAAATATGAATGTATGACTTGTTGGTGCTTGCTCTATTGATTCTGTTATTTTTATAGGTTAGATGGTAATCCAAGAGGAGGGGTGAATTGGATCTCTCCAAATTCTTCCCAAACAAATGATTTCAATATAGTTGAATGGAAATTAAAACAATAAGCACTTTTGATGAAAATATAATGCAAACAATAACAATTAATGAATCTAAAATCAAATATAAACAACAGTAAATTGTAAGGAGATAAGGATAGATAAATCGAACACAATGATTTATAGAGGTTCGGTCCTTCTCCACAAAACACCTACGTCCTCTCTTCTTGGTTGTCCACACCAAAGCTTTAATCCACTATTCTTGAATTGAAAATACAACCTATCTTTTTCTTTCTAAGGCTTAAGATAGAAACCTCTACCCTTTATAGAATTTTACCCAATCTCGCTACAAAGCTCTCAAAAGGATACCTCACCTCTTATTCTCTTCCACCCTTGCATATCAAAGATAATTTTGCAAACAATAGAACAAACTCTCTAAGGCTAAGTGTTTGCTAAGTTTAAGTACAAGAAAATGATGAATGAATAACAAATAAAAATTAGATATAATAAATACAAAGATATGGACTTTGAAGCTTTAAAAACTCTTGATTCTTTGAGACAATGAAAATGTGGCTTATTGGCTCTTACTCTCTTGATTCATCTGTGTTAGAGTGCCCAATTTATAGAAAAACTAAAGAGGTAGCCATTGGAAGTGTTTGGGAGAAGAAAATAGCCGTTGGAAGTGTTTGGGAGAATAAAATAGCCGTTGAAGTGTTTCTGCCCAGAACCGATCGATCCCTTGCTTGAGGGGATCGATTGGTTCATGTTTTGAACAATTTTTCACTTGAAAATCATGATCCGATCGATCCCTTCCATGAGGGGATCGATCCTGTCAGTGGCTGGGTGGTAGTTTCGCATTTTGCACTATATTTACTAATTTGATCATAACTTGAGTTATACAAATCTAAATCACAAACCGTTTGAAGATTTAGAAACTAGACTTAAATGTCTATCTATCCATATAAATTTTATCACTAATTCACTGTGTACGAATTATAGTGAATTTTTAAATTTACGCCTTGTAAAATTTTTCTGACAACTATAGAGTGTCTAGTAAAAATTCAAAATCTTTTCTTAGAAAATTTATATTTTAATTTTGTTTAATCCATTAGAAAATAGACTCAAAAAGCTTTCCAACCATATAAAATTTAAATATTAAGACTTTGTGAATTAATACAAAAAAATAAAACAAGTTCGATGTTGAAAACTTTATTATTGTAAAACAGCTTTCTTAAATTAATCTATTTCTCAAAACCAATATTATCAAAATTGTATTAAGTCCAAAATGAATAAGTGCACTTTAAAAAGCAATAATTGGACTTTCATTTAAGCTCAAATAAATAATCTTTAAAGATAGATTTGGTTTGAAAAATAAGAAAACAAAGAAAGGTTTGTTTAAGCTTTGAAAATTATATTATTTATTTAGTACCAAAATATGAAACTTAAAAACATGTACTAAATAAATCCTTTTTCAAAATCTTGATCAAGTTTATTTAGTTTTGATGTTTTGTCATTTCAAAATAAGGATCAATTCAAGGTTAACAATCTCCCCCTTTTTGATATGACAAAACTTAAAGATAAATTTGCTTGATGAAAAACTTTCTTTGAAACATTTAAGATTTTGAAAGACATTTTGGAAAACTCTCCCTTAAACAATGCATGGCAAAACTCCCCCTCAATTTGTGCATCCTAATCCAATGGCAAAACTCTTCCTCAATTGATGCATCCTAATCCAACACAACTTAACAAACATATGCTAGTCAAATATATGAAATAGGCACAATAAAAAATATGCATGTCAAGCACAAGCAAATTTGTCTATATGATATTTCTCCCACTTTTTGTCATAGCAAAAAGGTATGAGCAAATTAATGAGCAAATAAACACAAAGAGGCATCATTAATAAATATATTTATAAACATTTCTCCTTTTTGTTAATGCTCTTTATGCCAAAAGTTTAAGCTCCTATATCAATTGCTATAAGCATACAATAAGAGATATCTCTAAACTCTCTCCCTTTTTTTGTCATTTCAAAAGAAAGAGAAATCAATTCAAGGCATGGGACAAAGTGCTTGATACCAATAATATCAAGAGTATTTTGAATGCATGTAATCAAGTGTAATATGCATAATGAAGTTCACATACCTGTATTCAAGCATAAAAGCATAATAGTATAAATGTATCCAATTTTAGCATTTTAGCACAAGTCATCAAATTTACTACATGAAATTTATGAGCAAAAGATAATGAATGATATGTAATCTACTCATAAATCATGTTAGGATAAGATGTGCTTAGAACCTAAATCATCAATAACAATTAAGCATAAATTCAAGCACACGCATACAAGCTCATACCAATTGTTAAGGATACCAATTGTTAAAGATATGTCATCAAGAAGCATACCAATTGTTATCACAAAACAAATCAAGCAAAATTGTATTATAAAATTTTGCCTCATTTTCAAAATAAGGATTAATTAATTTAAGGCACACATAATTTTGCATGAAAGGTACAAGCTATATCAAGGATAGGCACATAAACAAGTGTTTATAAAAGTTAAAAAAAAGTTTAGCAATTTTGATACCAATTGTTAGCAATTTTATTCAACAACTTTCATAGAATAAACATACTTCAAGCATATAAAAGATTCATTCAATACATGGATACATGATAGTAGTAATCTTTCATAAGTTGTCATATCCAAACAAGAACCAAAAGCTTATATGTATATATTAAATCATAAGTACTAATAAGCAATGAGGTTCAATTATCATCATGTCATAACAAAGATTATATAAGCATGATTCTCCAAACATGATAAGCACATATGCTATAGCAAAGAAATAATGAAAGCATGATTATTCAATTATAATCCAAATTATTTCAATACATAGCAATGTAATTAATCTAAGCATATGCAAGTAATCAAACATATATTTATTTTCAAACAAAATCACACATATACAAGAAACATTTCAAAACATGTATTAGCAA